TAAGGATAAACTGATTAACCTGAAGACAGTATCACCAAATAAGCTACTAACTGTAGAGTACTTAAATACTTTTGTCAATCAAGAGAACAGAACTTATGAAACAAGTACTAAAGTACCTCATTGACAAAGGTGTTGACAGATACATTATCTGGCACGGAATCACGACCCTTGCATGCAATCTACAACATGAAAAAGAAGATAGCAATCCGATAATCCGCTAATACTATGAACAAGAAAAACAACATTATATTCCATTCACCTTAACATGTTTGATGCCGTCCTTCTTCAAGTCTAGTGTATGATAGTAACGAGTTGTATTAGTTAGATCAATCACAAGACCAAGCTGAAAAAATAGGATACCCATTTTTAGATAGAGAGTTGCATAAGCATTGAAGAAAATTAATGAAAAATGTTGAAACTTACATTTCTTCCATTTATTCTCTGGTTACGGACCACCTGTTTAAAAGAGTATCTTTTGCCAGGAGGAACATGTTCGTTGTATGATTCACTAAGTGGAACCTTTGAAGGAATAATGCATCCTATCTCCAGACCAAAACCAGGACAATCTAGCCAACCTGTAGTGGCCAAAACAATACTTACTATGTTTCAAATCATTGACCTAAAGGAAACAAAAAAAAACTTTTTTGAAGACATTACCTTGAGGGACCTTGGTTTGATCATAAACTCTAGTATCTCTGTTCTGATGATACTGATCACGGAACAGTGGCTGAGAGATTCGGGATGGTCTCTCTACTCTCATTCTTTTCCTTCTTTCTTCACGCTCCTGGAATGAAATTGAAAAACATGTAACAAGATATGATCTCAAGCATATACTTGGTAATGTAGTGTGATTATAGGTTTGGTGTTGAGGGGTGAATGATAACGTACACGTCTTCCGATCTCAACTGCAGATTTAATTCGATGATGTTCAACTTCAAGACGTCTCTTAAAGGGTTCATCGTCTTCTTCGGGTTGTGGTGAAACATTTAGGTCCATCATTCAATGGCAAAACAAACAGAGCAATTATTCACAAATCCAAATCCTCCCAATTTGACTTCTCTGCAACACAAATCCGTATATAGAATGTAAGAAGGTTTCGTTTCTCTGTTTTATCTTAATTCTTAAGCCAACCAACGAGCACAAATTGAAGAAAACTTAGACCAAAATCTCCGTTTCCAGAATCAAACCCGATACCAACCAATCAGACAACACGGAAAAGCCGAGGAAATCAACCAGTGAACATAGTGACGGATCAAGGATATAATCCGACGATAACCCTAGAGAAGAGGGAGAATCGTTTAGGAGAGGAGAGAAAGAAACGTCGTGTTTATATATGGCACAGTTAGGACAAAAACTAATGACTTCGCCAATATCGGTTTAGTTTCTAATCTATATATATAAAATAATATTTTTCCACTTTTTACTAGGGAAAGCCTAAAAAGCGATTTTAGG